TCTAGGGTTCCGGAATTGAGGCTGGAAAAATGATACGAGCTTCAGAAATGGGCCTTCGGGCTCGGAGTTGGCTGGCCGCGGTTGGGATGAGTGTGACCGCGGGGAATGGGTTGCTGGCCGCGGTCGAGATGGCTGTGACCGCGGGAAATGGTCTGTTGGCCGCGGGTGGAAACGCTTGTCGGCTGGTTTACGGGACATCTTGCTCTTCGTGTATCTTTAGTTTGAACCGTTGGATTGTCAAGCTGTAAAGTGTGCTGGAAAGCTGATACTTCCATATTTAAGATCTCCAAATTTGAGCTGGATCAGACGATGAGAAGGCCTTCAATCAGGGGTGAACTTCTGACGGTTTGACTTTGAGCTGAAATCTGGTTTTCTATCCATTTTGTTAAGTTTTTCCCTAAGTTACCTAAAAAGAGTCTTGGAACTACAAATACTAGAAAAACGTAATAAAAGTACTTAAAAGCAATTAAAAACATAGAAAAAGTATTTCAAAACGATCCATAAAAGTGGTCAAAATACGGTGTTTTCAGTAATCTTGTAGATTGTTTTGTAAAATTTGATGGATTTGGTTTCTATTTGTCGTTTGTCTATGGAAATCCAGAACCATATTTACGAAATTATCTATGGGAAAGATTGGAAAGAATATCATTAAACAGAAAAGATCCATGGTTTATTCTAGGAGATTTTAATGAGTTGTTGGGTAATGAGGAGAAACTTGGTGGAAGATTACGACCGGAGTCATCTTTTCAAGACTTTAGAAGAATGGTCCGACATTGTGACTTTACAGACCTCAAAACAGTTGGCAACAAATTCTCATGGACAGGTCAACGTGGTAGTCACTATGTTCAATGCTGTCTTGATAGAACCATGGCAAATACTCAATGGCATTTGCTTTTCCTGGACTCAGAAACACATTATCTCGAGTTAGATGAGTCTAATCATCGACCCCTAATCAGCTTTCTGGGAGATAGACCACAACAGAGAAGAGGACAATTCATGTTCGATGATAGATAGACATCAGATGAAGATTTTCAACAAATGGTATCTCGAGAATGGAATAGTGGGTCATCACAAAATACTACTTTGTTGGACCGAATAGTTAAGATTCGTCGTCAGATTTCTCGGTGGAAGCAGAGACATAAATCAAACGCAAAAGAAAAGATAGCTATTCTCCGTTATAAGTTGGACAAAGCAGCTTCATCAGCTAATGTTCCACAGTCTGAACGAGACAATCTCAAAGCCTAGTTGAACAAAGCTTATGTCGACGAGGAAATCTACTGGAAAAGGAAGAGTCGAAATACATGGTTACAAGTGGGGGACAGAAATACAAGATTCTACCATCAAGTGACCAAGACGCAGAGAGTTAAGAACAGAATTATGTCCATACAAGACTCACAAGGTATTATTCAGAGAGGGGATGATAACATTGCAGCAACTGCAGAAAGATACTTCACGGAGCTATTCAGTACACAGGGGATTCCGCAGAATGTTATAGATGAGGTCTTTGTCAACTTTGAAAGCAGAGTCACAAGAGATATGAACAATGATCTTATAAGAGAAGTATCACTTGAGGAGATCAGAAAAGCCGTTTTCTCAATTGGAGCTCAGAAAACCCCAGGACCGGATGGTTTCTCTGGATCTTTTTATCAAAGCTTTTGGAATGAAATATCACCGGCACTATTAATGGAAGTGAAAGCTTTCTTTGAGGAGGGAAGAATGGATCAAAGGCACAACCACACAAACCTGTGTCTAATACCCAAAATAACAACACCAACAACGATGGCAGACTTCCGACCAATTGCGTTGTGTAATGTTAGTTATAAAATCATTTCCAAAATCCTGGTGAATCGGCTTAAACAACATCTATCAGGTCTCGTCTCAGAAAATCAAGCTGCGTTCATTCCAGGAAGAATGATCACAGATAATGTGATAATAGCTCACGAGGTATTCCATGCATTAAAGGTCATAAGAAGACAATCTAAGTCTTATATGGCACTTAAGAAGGATATGATGAAAGCATATGACCGTCTAGAATGGGGTTTTTTGGAAGAAACCATGAGAAGATTTGGGTTTGATAGTAAATGGATACATTGGATCATGACTTGTGTCAAGTCTGTGAGTTTTTCAGTTCAGATTAATGGTTCACCGAGAGGATTTATACAGACACAGAGAGGTCTAAGACAAGGGGACCCTTTATCCCCTTATCTCTTCATTCTCTGTGCAGAAATACTGTCTCATCTGATGACTCAAGCAGCAAACACTAGGAAGATTCAAGGATTAAAGTCAATACCCAAAGTCCAGCTGTGAATCACCTTCTTTTTGTAGATGATTCATTATTTTTCTCACTTGCTAATCCACAGTCCGGAAGAGCAATTAAAAGGGTTTTGAATCTATATGAAAAGGTTTCGGGTCAAGCTGTAAATCTGAGAAAGTCAGCAATAACGTTTGGCAGCAGAGTACAGGATCACACTAAAACACAAATGAGAAGAATATTGGGGATCCATAATGATGGTGGAGGAGGAAAGTATTTGGGTATGCCTGAGCAATTTGGGAAGAGGAAGACAGAAATGTTTCAATATCTACTAGAAAAGGTTAATGAAAGAAGTCAAGGTTGGAACAAGCAGTTCCTTTCACAAGGAGGGAAGGAAGTCCTATTGAAATCTGTAGCTACATCAATGCCAGTCTATGCAATGAATGTTTTCAAGCTCCCTAAGGGTCTCTGCACTGATATTAACAGGATTCTTGCAAGATTTTGGTGGGGAAAAGGTCATGAAAGAAGAGGAATGCACTGGTATAGTTGGGAACGAATGGGTTTACCAAAAAAAGAAGGAGGGTTAGGCTTCAGAGATATATAGCAATTCAACCTTGCTTTACTCGGGAAACAAGCATGGAGGATACTACAAAATCCAAACTGTCTTAATACTGAAAAGCAGATATTTTAAAGACACAAACATCCTCATTGCTGGAGAATGCCGGAAAAGTTCATATATATGGAAATCAATTCTCCAAGGAAGAGATTTATTGAGGAAAGGAATGAGATTTATCATTGGGGATGAAACTGCAGTTAGCTTTTGGTATGACCCATGGTTACCGTTATATCCTCCACGACCTCCAAGACCGATAGAGGAGAACGTCAATCAATGTCTAGTGAAAGATCTGTTTGCTGAACAGTCAGGGTGGAATGAAAGAGAAATACGAAGACTAGTTGTGGAAGAGGATGCAGAGATTATCCTGTCTTTACGGGTAAACTCAAGATCAGAAAAAGATTTATTAGGTTGGCACTACAATAAAACTGGTCTCTACACAGTTAAATCTGGTTACTGGTTGGCAGCTCATACCCATCAAAGGCTACTTCATCCCCCTTCTGGTAATGCTAATCGGAAGCAACTAATCTGGAAGCTCAAAATTGCTCCAAAAATAAAGCACTTTTTGTGGAGAGTGGTCTCAAGTGCAATCCCAACCGGTGAAAATCTCAAAAGAAGACATGTGACAAGAAATTCACTTTGTCCACGGTGTATTTTTTCAGAAGAAACGACCAATCATCTTTTCTTTGAATGCACTTATGCACAACAAATATGGAGAGCTTCAGGTTTTCCAAACTCAAGTGTCATCAATATGGGATTAAATTTTGAGGAAAAGCTGGAAGCTATACTTAAGAGGAGTTCATTACTGCCTCACAGAGTACATCAATATGCCTTGTGGATATTTTGGCGTATCTGGAAGAGTCACAATACACTTTTGATTCAACGAAAACAAATCTTTTGGTTAACAACACTGAAATTAGCTGAAAGTGATGCAAAAGAATGGTTAGATGTCTACCAGCTCATTGATAGATATAATCAGCCAGACTCTCATCAAAAACCAATCTCGATTGCAAGACATCATCGATAGCTTCGACCAAAATAAGGATGGCTAAAATGCAACTATGATGGATCGTACATCAAGGGGAGAAACAATGCGAAGGCGAGATGGATTCTAAGAGATGAAAATGGAGTTTTTAAAGGAGCAGGTCAAGCAGAAAGCAATGCAGCACAAACGCCACTAGAGAGTGAAGCCCAAGCATTACTGATGGCTATGCAATACTGTTGGTCTAGAGGTTATAGGAAAGTCATTTTTGAAGGAGATTGCAGAAACCTAGTAAACCTGATCAACAAAGAAACCCTCAACTTTGGAAGTCACAACTGGATCAGAGAAATCTTGAAGTGGAAAGGAAAGTTTGAAAATATAGAATTTGTTTGGACACACCGGGAAAATAATCAAGCAGCGGACACACTTGGGAAGGCAGCTTTACCGTTTAATACCAAATATAGTTCTTATCATTATGTTCCACGTGTAATTTCTGATGTATTACATTTAGACTAAATGTAAGTTTCACTTAATTAAAAAAAAATATTAATGAAAAATATTATAAAATTTTGAATAGATATTTTTTAAGTGGTCAGTCCATAAACTCTTACAAAAAATTAATTTTATGGTGTTTAATACTTATAAATTAAAAAAAATACTTTTCAACTTTTTTTATATATTCAAATGAAATGTAATAAATTATAATAAAAAATATTATAAAAGTTCGTATATATATTTTTTAATATGTAGATGAATTGTTATTATTTTCATATATAAATAATAATCAAGAAATTAATTAATAAATAATATTTTTAATGAAAAATATTTATTTTCCAAATTTTCTTACATAATCTCAAAAGACAGCTATATTGTTTCTTCTTTCAATTATATTTTGTTATTTATAATGACATTTCATGTAATAACTTACACATTTAAGTTTATTTTAAAAAATATCTACTTAAATAATAGTATAGAAATGATCAAGAAGAAGCATGCACACATAATTCTTTATTTAGATGATAGCACGATACATACACAAATCAAAAACAATTTATTAAAATACTAGCATCATCATACTCTAGCATTTTTGTCACATAGACGGATAATTGTTGCTAAAATTAAAAACCAACACTTATTGAAACCAACACTCTGAAACTTGGAGGTGGTATCTTTGTGGATCATGCTTGTTTAGAGGTTTCAACAGCAGTCTTAACAAAGCCCTTGGTGCATAGAGTAGAGCATGCTTTGGTGCATTCTTCAGCCACTCCTTTCACAATTTCACTTGCGTCTAGTAACAGAAACAGTATAAGAATGGGTTATATTATTCTCTTGTCTATTATTTCAACTAGTTATAAACTGATCGAGCTTGGGGATTTTTGTTTTACCAGATTTTTGGAGATTGAATAAGGCACCACAAACAGAGGATGCACATCCCAACTTGCAGTATTCATGAGCAGTATCACCTTGAGTCAAAAAAAATCATGCAACTTACACTAAAAAAAATGAAGTCTTGATTCACCATGTATTTTTAACATATATAAATTTTAATAAAGCACCAAAAAGAAATCAACTTACCAGAGTTTTCGAGAATCTCATAATCATATCCTGGAGGACATTTCCCGTCAACGATTTTGCATCCAGAAAATTCTGCACAATATGCAATAGAAAGATAAGCAAAACGGCAAGCAGAATATCTATTTCTTTCCCACAGGGACCGGCAGCAGGCTGCTTCTACTTGAATTTGTGCTCATTACGAGAGCACTTAAAATCACAGCTTTGCCTTTCATCATCTTTTGATTGATATTACTTGTTTGCTCACAAAATGTACTTTGAGAATTTGTAAGCTTGTTGTATTGACGAAATGGTGATGAGAATAGACTCGCTTAAATACTAGTTCTTCTACAATTTGTCAACACAAAATTAAATTATATAATCAATGCTCTGTTAGAGTGTACACAATGGGTGCCATATACTTAGCCAACCACCATATCTCCTCTTCATTACTATTGCACTTATCTAATTGACCTAACCAATTCGAGCAAATCTTTCATATTAATGGCGTTTATCTAGAGAATTCTCCCATAAACGAAAAAAAAAAGAAAAAAAACCTTGGTCGAAAAATAAACTAAAAAACTATATTGGATCATACCGTTTTTGTTTATGTATGTTACATCATCAAACAATATATTATTACATGTCCAGCGATATTCCTTTTTACCTTTTCTTCTAGCTCAACTCGAAGGCGCTGAATAACCTTGGCAGAGTCGGTTCTGCTGATTTCACAAATCTTTAACCAAGATTTGTGAGTAGATTAGATCTTGCAGCTGCATACTGAGACACTTTCAAATAGGAAAATGCAGCTGTGGTTTCACCGGTAGACAAACCACAGCTCGTTGTGCCTTTTCCTTAAAGACAGGATCATCGGTAAACTTGGCTTTTGAATTTTGATTGTCTGTAAAGCAACTATTGAGATTGACATCTCAAGTTAGAAACTGAATTGCTTCGGTCCTTATACTGTAAATCTTTTAGAGGCCAATATCTGTCACAGCCTCATTATCTGAACCAGGAAAGAAGTACTCAATAAGCATGCCAAACTGCAAAAAGAATTAACTAGGTCGATGAAACACACGGTTTCTTCAAAGTCAAGTAACCAATTTTGGAGATTCAGTTTTCACAAGAAAAAAAAAAACCAAACCTGTGCAATAGCTGGACCCTTTTGTATCATGACGCAACATAAACTCATTGCATTGTTAGTTGTTACTGCAAACAAAACAGTATGATGAATAAAAGAGTTTAATCAAACTAAAAAAAAGAAAGGAACTTTCATATTCTTAAGCAAAGAAAAAAATGGAGCACCATTGATAATCTTCAAATATTCGATCTCGAACACTTGACGCTTTAACTAAGGGCTCAACTTTCTGTTCATTGGGAACTGCTAGTTTAAGAGAAGTATTAAAGAGCTGCTCAAGTTTCCGTTTCAGATTTCCCTCGAATTCTTCTTCCTATCAGAGCAACTAGAAGATCATGAAACTAGAAAGAAGAAAGTTTGATCTTTATATATATAAAAAAGTTGAAAAAACTGTAGCTTACAGCTAATTTCATCTCCTTGAATCGTTTGGTTTCCAAGTTTTTAAGATCTCGACGTCGTTGGTTTCTTTGTTAATTATGTCTTTGTGATTCTTTTCTAGTTTTAATAGTAGTAGGTGCTGCTAGGAACAAAGGTTTTGTTTTTTTTTTTTGAAAATTTCATTTAGTGGCCACGATTTATGTTCTAAAAATAATCCGACGATCCAAAATCAATCTAAACCGTTAGTTACCTCTATAAGTGATCTTTATTATCTACCATAACCAAACAGTAATTAGGAGGCCAGATAACTACCCACACAATCAGATTTTGATGCATATACATCTCTCATCTCAGAAATCAAATCCCTCAACATTTGCAACATGTGATAATGCTCATGGTGGCTCAGATCCTCCATTAGAAACGTTCGAAGCTGTCCATTAACCTCGATCACACTGTAGCCTGGTACTTTTTCCATGTCCCCACTTCTCATCAACTTCCTCACTTTAGCCACTTCTTTCCACTTTTTCCCAGTTGCAAAGAAGTTAGAAACCAGCGTTTGGATTCCAATGCTATCCGGATTCAACTCGAGAATCTTATTAGCCGCGATCTCCCCAACCCATAGATTCCTGTGATTGATGCATCCTGAGAGAAGAGCAACCCAGATAGGCAAAGCATTGTCAAGTTTCTCAGAGTTTATCAAGTCAAGAGCTTCTTCTACTCTCCCTGAACGTGCCAAAAGATCGACCAAACAAACGTAGTGTTTCTCGCTAGGTTGGATGTTATATCTGTTTATCATGGCCCTGAACCAATGCTGGCCTTGTTCCACTTGACCAGAGTGGCTAAGAGCAGAGAGAATGGAAGCAAATGTGGCGTGGTCGGGTTCTACTTCTGATTCCGTCATTTTCACAAACATCAATACAACTTCTTCACCGTTTCCATGGATACCGTAGCAAGATATCATTGTGTTCCAACAAACCAAGTCTTTCTTTCCTATCCCTTCAAAGATCTCTCTTGAACATGAAACCACGCCGCATTTCGAGTACATGTCCATCAGAGCAGTTGCAGCTACTGGATCAAGAACGTGTATTTTCAAGATGTAACAATGTATTGCTTTACCTGTCTTTAACGACCCGACTTGCGAACACGCCACAAGTACACCAACAAGAGCCACAAGATCCGGTTTAAACCCAAGTATCTGCATCTCCACCACTGCTTCAAAGGCTTTATTGGCTAACCCGTTTTGAGTAAAACCCGAGATCATCGACCCCCACGAGACCGCGGTTTTATACAGCATCCTACTAAACATTCTTAAAGCAAGCTCTAAAAACCCAACCTTTACATACATATCAACCACGCTGGTTTCAACTACAACATTCATAGGAAGAAGACCTGTCCTGATCAAATACCCGTGTACAGAACAACCCATTTTCGGATCCCTGAGATCAGCAGAAGCTTGTAAGAGACCAAGCATCACAACCCCATCTCTACCAAACCCTTCGTTTCGCATCCCTCTGTAGTACTCAACTGCTTTCAACGACTTACCAGCATGTGCAAACCCTGTCACCATTGTTGTCCAGCAAACAAGGTCTCTTTTCGTCATTTTTCCGAATAGAATCTCCGCTTCCTCGACTTTCCTGCATTTCATGTACAGATTCAAGACAGATGAACATACAAAGACATCATTTTGATACCCAAATTCGATCGCTTTACTCCACACAGCCTCTCCTTTCTCTAAAACCATAGCGCTTAAGCACGCCTTGATCGTCATTGTGAACGTTGAGCTATCTGGTTTAATCCCTTCAGCTATCATCTGATCGTAAAGTCTGAGAACCTCTTCTGGTATGTTTCCACGGGAATACACCATAACCATGGAGTTGTAAACAGAGACACTCCTGTGAGGCAATTGGTCGAACAACTTACGGGCATGAGAGATCTCGCCGATTCGTCCATAAGTAGAGACGAGATCTCGAGCAACTGAGCTTCCATGAAGTAAATTATCGGTAGTGATTACGAAAGCTTGGACCTGAGCGACGTGCCGCTTGTATTGACTAGCGTGTAGCAGAGATTTGAGGCGTCTCGGACACAGAAGAGTCCGATGTAACATGCAGAGAAATTGTTCTGTTACCTTCCAAACCAAATCTAGACCGAATCTTCAGACCAATTCGAAGAAAACAAAGACAAAGTCAACAATTGGTTTGGTTCGATAACTTCTCCAAAACCAATTTATTTGAGCAAACCGAAACATACAAGGCGGTTACAGTATACGACTAGAGTAGACAAAAGACATAGCAACTGAAAACATTTTCAGTTTTGTTTATCCTTCTTAGCAGTCAAGTATAATTTGATTTTAAATCAAAAATGAAGAAAAAGAAGCTTTATCCAAACCAAAACTGAATTAACCAGAAATCAAAAAAAAAAAATAACTTCTAAATTAATTTTTTTAATTAAATATCATATAGAAAAATATATTTAAACACTATAATTTGATTTTAGAAAAATGTCTAAAACAGAATTGAAAAATATGATCCTATTTAGAGTTTTAAACCTATTTCTTTTTCGACCGAAAAAAAAAAATATTTATTTAAAGACTAGATTTTTCTGTACTGAACCGAACTAAATTACTGAATTACGAAACTGAACTGATAAAAACACTTATTTGTATGTTTAAAATTTTTATAAAATCATATTTTTAGAAATAGAGGAAATAAATTTATTTTCTTTGTTATTTTAGTAATACGATTTTTTAAATTAAAATCCAGAATTATTTTGAAGTCTATTTAAACAAAAAAAAAAAGATACATGCATATTATTGATCTTATGCAAATCATCCTATAATATTTCGAGCATACACCATTACATTCTCAGCTGAGATATAAACTCCTTATAAACTTACCTATCTTATAAAAAGAAGATTTAAAAATCCTCTATAATTAACGTAATGTTATTTCAATAACATTCTCTAGGAGGACTTTGGTACTTATTGCGATCGGTACAATAGTCATAGTTCATATACTTATTCCTCACATGCTCATAGATTTTTTGTTCATATCCGCTTAACCTTTGATACTTGCCTGCATTCCACCAATAGTTAGAGGATCCACAAGCGGCCACATCATTACTCCGGCCGTCTATGTAGCAGCCGGAGAGACCGGAAAAGTCTTGGAAATGGGCAATGAAAGGAGAGTATGACCAGTTAACTTTGGTTCGACCGCCATCAGTCGCCCAATCGTCACCGTTCCAGAGACTGGCCTCTACTTGCATAGGCTTTGATGGATAGCTTACTCCTTTTTCGTTTTTGTAGACTCTTATTGGGATGTTGTCCACGTAAAACCTATCAATCATCATACGACCATCATTTCATCTATTTGGTTTTATTTATATGGAACATGTACTATATGACGAGTTGTTTTAGCTCGAATTGGCAAAAGTGACTATGTGAAAACTTGATTTGCAAAATATCCTCAAATGGGTGAAAATGTGTCCAATTTTTTTTTTTCATATTTAATTTCATTTGTCCCCCAATTATACACATTTTTACCTTTTTAGAAGCAAATTACACATTATGCCTGTTATTGTATTTGTATCAAATCAACTGCGGAAAAATTGGCTCCTTTATTTATGATTTTGCCATTCATTTTTTGTCGAAATTCGGCTGTCTACATAATTATATATTTTCTTATAATTAAGAGATTTAGGGCGCATAGATCATACATCCCATCCCATAGACTGGTGAGCAGACCCCTCCTATGGAGAGCAGACCCTCCTATAAAACTGGTGACTTGAGTCTCTACATTTTCGATTATCAAAGGATTTAACCACTAGATCAACTCATTCTTGGTATTTATTAAAACAAATTATTATAATTATAATAAAATTTAGCTGTGATTACTAATTACAATGAGATTATAAAATGCTCTCATTTTCAAATAAGATGATGTTTTAGTTGAATATATATACTTACACTTATAAGATTGCAAAATGAAAAAAACATATTTTTCCATTTTGAATTATCAAATGTTTATAGAATTTTGTTTTTTCAAAATATTGAATTCTTGCATTGAACAAAAAAAAAATATCATTTGCCATGCATGAAATGAATACTATACAGGAGATAAAAGTAAGAAGAAAGTATCGTAATAACGTACACAATTTGGTAAGGGTTCCAAAGAATCCCATAAGTGTGGTAGTGTTTGATGGGGTTGAACCACAGATGAAACCTCTCTTCTCTGTTACCTTCTCCATTCGCAAACACATTTGTCTGCAACGTTATCGGTTTTCCATCGTTGTTTCCTAAGAACTCGAAGTCAATCTCATCGTGATTACCTCCATTCGAAGTCAACTGTCATTATTAATTTACATATATATAGATAGTTAGTTACAAATATATATAAATTTTGAAATTAGTCTACGCATGTTGTATGCATATATAATCAAGAATACAAACGTAAAAAGCGGTGACGACGCCGGCAGAATTTCCTCCGGGCACTTTGATTCTCATTTGAAAGAGACCTGATCCGTAGAGGTTTCTAGACTGAAACCCAGCACCTGTTTCATGTAAAAGCCTTCACTTAGTATTTAAATTGGATCGAATCAAAAAAAAGAAAAGAAAAAACGTAAAGCCATAGAGAGAAAATGTATTGAGGCAAATATCCGATTTTTAGAGTTTTTCTTTCAATTATCGTGTGATGAATAATACAAACCTTTAAAATTTGTATTTATAATGACCTAATACTGACAAGTAAATGAGTTTTTTTTTCTAATCCCAATAGGATATCGCACCGTTGCATTTCTTGCATTTCTTTGCTCGCTCAAGGGACTCCTTAGCATACGTTATTCTGATTTTTCTCATCTTTGAAACAACAAATTACACACCAAATGACCATTAAACGACTTTTGTTAGTAAATATTGTGTCCTAATTTAAGCTTTCTTCGAGGTAGATCTGAGGCGAAACCCTGACTAATATATAAGACATGTAGAAAATAGGATATTCTTGTCACTTAAACGTAGAGTGACCAAAAATGAACCATAACAAATTTTCGTAGATGTTGAAACTTGATTTACGACATGAATTCTCTATCCACTCGAACAAACCAATATGTCACACTCTCTTGGGTACTAATAAGGTCTTTTGGCCATTAGACAACGTCTTGTCTTTATAATTTTATACGAAGAAACAAAAAGAAACCTGAAGACTGATCCATGTAGAGATCAACTTCTTGCCCAGAGTGCAGTGTGGAAACATGACCTTGACCCCACTTAACAACATAGTTCTGACCAAAAGTAACGTATTTTTCGATTCCTCTCCCTCCGCGAACCCTAGCATCAACCACTATGATCAATAACGCTACTGCAACCAAAACACCATATATTCTCATATATTCCATATTGCTTTGATTTTTGTGTAAGGAACTACTATAGTGTTGCACATATACAAGCCTCTGGTTTAATAAGTTGAAAAAAGTGGAAAACATGAAAGATATGAAGGAGACAAAAAGATTAATTAGAGTCATATCAAATTCTCTATACATCTCCTACACGATATTCTTATTATCCCATGCCCATCACCATTCTCTCTTTCTTTTTTAAAGTTGTAGTGATCGATTTGTTGCTCTCTTCTACAACAATAGCTTATATGAGAAACCATTTGATTCGATCGACTTTAGGTACTAACATCTCAAGTATTTGACTTGAGTCCATAGAAAAATTGATGTAATTGGAATATGGTGTTTAGATGAATTGTGCTTTCTCTTATTGGTATTTGATTTCTTGAAAATACAAATTTAAGACTGGATTTTTTTAGATGTTATCATCAAATAGAGATGTAATTTCCTCCAAATTATTAAAAGTTTTTTTATCACATTTCCCCAAATTAAAAATGTTTCACATCTTCTCGTTGTAATGGAAATTTTTACTGTCCTGTAATAACACTAGCTCGAGCAAAAAGTTGAGACACGAATAAAGTTCCCAAACAAAAAAAGAGTGTAATATAATAAGTTAGATCGCTGGAGTTTTTACATATCTATGCTCGTCTCCTCTATTAAACCACCAACGGAGTAAACTGGTAAACATCCAAATTGAATCCGTAGGGTTTCCAAGCATCGAAAATTTTGGAAATCTAAGCTGGCAATTGAAGCTTTTTGTTGTTCTTCCAGCTGCAAACATAAAACAAACAAATAAAAAAAGAATCAGAGTTGGGAAAAAAATAAAGTTAGGAACAAAGAAGAGAAGATGAGGTAATTGTTTACCTTAGGAAATAGTAGTAGAAGAAGTCGGCATAGAGCAATGTTTGAACAAGCCCCGCGATCCATGCTGCATCATATCACACAGTTCCAATTGAAAATATCAGATTCACAAAGCATAATCACAACAATAGGTAGTGCCAAATGTGAATAATTTAGTTGACGGGAGTGTTTCGGTATGAGAACCACCATGCTTTCTACAATATTCGTGTAGCAAATAAGGTACGCATATGTATCTATTGAAGTCTAAATACTAACTTTAGCTGACCTTACGAGCTAAGGTACATGGAGCAATGAGAAGGGTCATATAACTTGACAAAAACTAATCGAGTTAGCATGATATACAAACAGATGTTTATGGGTTCAATTGTGATGCATGTAAAACAGTGAGGAAGGTTAAGGGAGAGAGAGTTCATACTTATCCAATGAACAAAGTGCGGCTCAGTGAAGTAACGGTAGATCCAGTTGAGGATGTATAATCCCCGGTACCCCCTGCAAGAAGATGATAATATTGGTATTTCAAACAAAGTATGAAACTTAGAGGGTAGCTGTAGATGAATTTGACGCCATAAAGTTTGGCAGGGGAACAATAAACAATGAAAAGCAATGGTCTATAGCACAAATAGTCCTTAGAATCCAGTTCGTGACATAAATAGGAAATAGATCATCAAACTGAATTATGGAACCGTCTAGAAAAGGTTCAGTGGGAGGAAGAAGCAAGGATTCATTTCAAGTAAAGAGAATTTATGAAACGAAGTTGTACCCAAGGAGAAATATGTATTGCCCGGTCAAGTTGTCAATATTTCTAGTCCTTTGCAGCAAGACAAGCTGAGGTAATATGGCAACAGCCTCCAAGTACAATGAAAACGTCCACAGTACCTAAGACATTGTAAAGCAGATACCAATTACACACACACACAAAAAAAAAAGTATCAGCCTGTCAAACAAAAGAGCTCTTTCTTTGACAAGACTAACCTCAAGAAAGGTAAACTTTTCGTGTATCACAAGAGCTAAGAGTAGGCATGGAAGCACAAGGAACCAATGACGAAACGTATCTTGCTCCCTGTCGTAAGTCCTGTGGACTGCTTTATGATACCTCATATACCAAACAATAGAAAAGGAACTTCCTAAGAACACCAACTTCATAGAAGTGTTGTAGAGAGACACGAAGCTCGTGAAAATATCCAAATAGCGCGTAGCAAAGACAATGGCATAGAGTTCTTGAGTCTTCAACGAGACACCTGCAAATTAACCACAAAACACGCATTTGAATTACTCTCATAACTCAAAAACACAAAGAGCTTTTACATAGCTGATCTCTTAAATGTGCTATTGCTTAGCGACATAGAGAAATGATTGTAACCAAACCAATCGATATTCAAAATCGTTCAAATTTCTCTTTCACCAGTTGAATTTTTCCATGGATAAACGAAGCTCGAGAACAGTCTCTCCTAAATCGTAATAGGATTAAACTCGGCAACCAGATTACTACCAAAAATAGAATTAGATCCGTCATTTCTACATTTGAATTCCCGAGCGAGAATCAGATGATCTAACGTCAATTTTTGAGAAGCGAATCGAACAAACATCGAGAAAATTAACCTAAACTATGATCGCAATCTGATGTTATCAGCCAAATTCCGGAGAGAAAACAGAGGGAAATGTACATACCGGCACAGGATTTGATGGTGTGGATCTTGAGAAGCAAGACGAGAACACTGGCCAGGTGAGTCATATCACCTGCTAATCTGAAAATGTTCATCTTCGAGCGTGCGTGGGGTGGCTAAATCTTATCCTCTCCTTCTTCGACGTCTTCTGCAAATGGAAAACAAAAATCTCTAGGGTTTTTTGAAGCTCCCTGCTTCTTCTCTTTCTCTACACCACACTACGGGTTCGTGCTAGATCTCGTCTGTGACGTTTCCACGAATTTCTTCTGTGTCTTTTTGTTTTTTTTCCCTCAGAAAAAAAATGGTAAGAAAATGAAAAAAAAAAAAAACAAAAAAGCCTAGGACTTCTCGTTATGGGCCTAGTTTTGGGGTAAGAAGATCTTATTATCCAACCGGAGGCTGAACCGGATATTTTTCGGTTTGATACAAAACCCGTGTGTATTAATTTTCTAATTAGTTGATTCCGAATCAAATCCAGGGAAAAAATTAACTAACATGAATAAGAAAGCTTAAATATGCCAAACCCATAGACAAAGGTTTTACCTATAGATAATGACATTAAACGTTAAACGTTAAATCATTTATTAAAATTTTGAGTGTACATAATTGTGGGTCAAATTGTGGGTCAAAATTTTAAAATAACGACACGATCAGAGGACAGGTAAGAGTTGGTTAACCAGTGAATCTCTCAGTTAGGTGATTGTCGTTAACCATAAGTGTAGTCGGAGGATTGTTCACGTCTAGCCCGACCACTTATTTGTTCTCGTCCATACACATCAGAGATATTCAGATACAGCTTATTAGTTTATAAAAAAACACATGTTATAAGTACAATCATCAAAGCCGTTTTTCTCTCTCTCTATTCCAACTCATTCGGTTAATTTGATAACCATATTTTACTTGTAAGAGAGTTTGGTGTTAAAAAAAAAAAAAGAGTTTAGGAATATGTTACTACCTAATTATCACTTTTGCAAATTATGCAAATGTTCAATCACTAACTCCATTGAACTCATGTACTTTATTGTCTACGATGTTGATGATTAATGAAAATATATTATTTTAGTGTAAACCGTGGAAGTTCTGAATCTTTAGGTTATAATCTTTACTGGTTGATAATAATATCACATTTAAAGTGTAAATAGAATTTAAATAGTGATCTTGAATTCTCATTCTCAAAACCACTAGTAGATCTAATGATTAATGGTAATATAGTTTGATCTAATGATTATCAAATTTCTCCAAATCACAAACAGAAAAAGGGTTCCACTTCCATGGAGAGCCGAGAGAAAAAAGATTTTTATTTTATTTTTCAGTTTTCAACGATAACACATTACAACAACAAAGAAAACAACCTAAAATACATATGATCATCCATTAAAATAAATAAATGAAAAAAAAAGAAGCCTAAAAAAGATCAAGAATTTCTAAAATGGAAGTGTTGCAAAGAGGACAGTTTCCTCTTTGAACCCAAAGCTCTCTCGAACACAACCTGCAAAACGTATGACCACACGGTATAAACGCCGCTCCTTTGCTTCTCACCATACACACACAACAACTTATCTCCGCCGTCGTCTCCGCCGCTTCTCCTCCTCCTCCGCCGCACCTAACTCTTCCCTCCTCTTCCTCCTCCTCCTCTCCCTCTCCTCCTACCAAACGCATTTGCCCTTCGTTCTCCTCCAACAACTCCATCAAAGACATCCTCGCCGGCTGAATCTCCATCGTCGTCGCCGTCCTAATCTCTTCTTCCCTCGCCGACAACGCTCTCTCCTCCGCCAACACTGCTCCTAACCGGATCCTCCCCTCCGTCGTTGCTCCGTTAAACTCAGATTGTCCTCCTTCGGAGTTGGAGAGGTTGAAACCGAGTCGGTGGTGGCGGCTATCGTTATCCCGGTTAAGGATAGGCGTATTATTCGAACTCGGAATAGGATTCGCCGAGATCCAAGCAGCGGCGTTTCGTTTGAGTCGCCGGAGACTTTTCCAAGCGGTTTTATCTCGGTGGCTATGGTCGTGTCGGTGCTCTCTCTGCATTACATCGAGAAGTGACCGATTCGATTGGTTTCTCGACGACGGCGGCGGCGGCGGCGCAATTTGCGGTGGTTGCGGCGAGGTTACGTTTTTATCAGCCATTAGAATCGCTTCCAGAGTTAATCCTGTTAGTGAGCTCCGGCTAGTCTCCACCGTTGATATTCGATCTAGTAACGTCACTCTAAGCCTATCGCCACCGTCCATTTGAATCATCTTTTTACAAGATTCAGAGCATAGTGAACTGAAAAAAAAAAGAAATTTTGTTGTTAAATACAGAATCGAAGATTTTCTCGGGAATATCAAAGAGGGGATTAAAACTTAAGTATCTCAGCTTCTCTAAATCAGATTTCTAGGAAATTGAAATCGAAGCTAAAGCATCAGTTTCATCATCCCCTCGATAAACCCAAATTTTCCTGAGAAAATGTTTGATTTTTCCGCCGAAAAACTCATTCAAAATAATTAAAAAAAGTGAAATCATTCAAACTTTTTCCCGATAAATTTTTTATTTTTCACGGAAAATTTCAAAAACTGAAATCCCGCTACCACAGAAAAAGGAAAAAAAAAATCATTATAAAATTTTCGGAACCTGTTTTTGCCGAGAAAATATCCAGAGTTTCAACAAATCAAGCACCTTTGCTTCCCGATTGCAGCAGAATCCGAAATCCAAGAGTAGATCTGTAATAAATAGAAAATACTTTAAAAATGATAAGATTCTGGCAAATAAACAGAGAGAGAAATTCCGATTCTTCTATTGTTCTCAATGTCAGACAACAATCATATTTTTTTTCACAGAAGAATGTATAAATCTACAAAAAGCTTTTATTTACATATATGAATATGATTGATATCTTTGAACTTTTAAAACTCTTTTCTCTCGCTTTCTCTTTATGTGAAAAGAAATATAATAAAAGTGTGTACGAGCATGAAGAGAACCACGATTTGTGGTAAGCGTTATTTATATCAAAATTACGTATTTGCCCATGCATTTATGCGTCTTTATTGGATTAATTCATTTGACTTTTGTTGTTACTTTCTTGTGGGCCATAAGGGTAAATTCTTACAGCCTTGGCTTTGGACAGAACCGAAACTAATGACGAAGTCGTCGTTTGGGTTTGTCTTCGAATTTCTTTAAGGAAACAGGATAATTTGATATGCACATGACAAGTGCACTTATTCTTGTCGTTTTTTTCCCTAACACTAACATTGAAATCAAGTAATCAACTTCTAGTTTTTGGATTTAACATGACAATATGTTTAGCTGATTTTTATCAGCAGAAAATTACATGTTTTGGTTTGGAAATTAATTGGTTAATTTTACATTTTGTAGGGTTTGATTGTGCATTTTAAAATGGGTAGCTAAACAATAAAGATGGATAAAATAATGTAATTGAGGCCCAAAAAAAAAGAGTCGGCCCTTCTTTAAGCTTTTTATGGGTCGACCCATGTGGTGAGCCTTAAATGACGTGGCAGTTTTGTATTGGTGGGGGAAATTTTTTATAGAGAAACGCGTGGGGGTAAAAAAATCGAGTCAGAAGTTCTCATTTCTGGAAAAAAAAATCAAGAGGTCTCTTCCTAGGCGATTTTGGAGGCGACCGGAGGCGATTCACCGACGGAGCAAATCGATGACGATTTCGGCGGTTTTCCGGCGGCTTGGGCCATCGAATCGTGAAGGTACGTTTTTTTTTAGGGTTCGCTTAAAGAAAGACCTAGTTGAAAATATATGGAACAAATTTGGCAATTCTCAAGAGTAGAACTACAAGTTTTATATTTCAAATATCTGTATTTTGAATTTTAATAATTTCATGTACTGTTCTATAATCTTGTTTAATATGTAATGAATGTTTAAATTAAAGATTAAGTTAATAATTTTTATAAAAAAAATATTAATTTTTTATTGCTAAGCAACTTTCTTACAATCCCTCTAATGCAACATTTGATGATAAAAGTTGCTTAATTATCCTTAAACCCAAAAAAAGTATTATATTAATGCTAAGCAACTTTCTAATAGTCCCTCTAATACACATGCTCTTAGTCCAGCGGTTTTATGAAGGATCATGTTAAATAAAAAATATAAAAAGAACACCACCGTGAATTGGATTGGTTCGTTTTTACATTGCAAGTGCAGTCAAAAATCTCTAACATTTAATAGAAAAAGTAGCCACCAAACAATAACTAACACCCAACAACTTGGGTTAGGTTTAATCTTTCTTTAGAACTAATCCACTAAAATACATGTAATTAGAGTTTTAACCCTGCTTCACCAAAAAAGCAACAAAACAAAAGTAGTTATTGTGAGAAATAAAAACGAGAGTACGTCATTTGTTGAGAAGGGCCCAAAAAAAAGTAAGGACCATCATGTTGGATCAAGATTCAAAATCGGAACATAATTTTGTACCATTTTAGTTTTGATTGCCATGATTTTAGTTTTGATTGGCACGATTATGAATTTATAAGAATAGTGCTTCTTTATAACATTTTTCATCCAGGTAACCATATTTTCAGTTTTATCTAACTTTCCTCTCCAAAAAGACATTAAAAAAAAAACCCATTATTTATATGCTCGTGTTCCATAAATGAGACTACTAAAAGGCTATATAAGTGTATGATTGCTTTGCTAAAAGATGTTGCTTTGTCAAGAATCTGGCTTTGAGGGAGGTATGATTGGTAAAAGATATTTCTAAAGTTCTTGGTCGTTGATTTTTGAAACGGCAAGAATATGCCTCTTAAGGTGACTATTGTCGATTTTGTGTGTTTCTCTATATTTCATGGTCTCTTCTTTAAGTCACTAACAAACCATAGTTTTGCTAGGATTCGGATTGAGTTGTCAGCAATCAAAATTTGTAATAATTCTTGATAGCATCGAATCTCTTATCTCTTGAATGATGGCTTTCTGATAGTAGCAAATCTCATATCTCATTAAGACTACGAATTCCCATTAACACTAAAAAGCCTTTAAACCTTTCGTCAGATGAGAAATCACTATTTCAAAAATCTCAATTTAAATTTTATAATCAAGTGGTTGTACTGGGGTGGTTCCCACTTATGGGAAGAGTTACCCTGTTGGTCTAGGGTAGAGATTGACTTTCTCCAAGTGCGGAATTATATCACATTAACACTTGGCTATGTGGGGTTTAACTGGGTGGCCTCACGCCCCACCATAGGATTAGTCGGGTGTCTTCGGGCCTCAGATACCTTAGGTGCTAATCAAAAAAAAAAAAAATCTCAATTTCATTCCCAAGATAATGCAATTTTTACATGCAAACTTTTCTGAGGCTTTATCATGCTACATATGGAGCCAGATTATATGTTGAAGGCTAGAAACCTATTATATTAGGTATTAGTATCAGCTAATGAGAGATCGAATGGTTTCTTACTAAAATATGGATCTTGTGTTTGGGTTTATTTTTTTACTCAGACTTAGACTAATCACTGAACATCATATGTGACTTTAGGTTAGATGAATCACTTAACGCTACTTATATAGCTTAGTGTAAACAGTATAAAAGTGTTTTGGTTTATCGTTTTTGGGAACGAGCCTGGAAGTGTATTGGTTTGATATACAAAAGCTATAACAACTCGAAGGATAAGGCCATCTCCTAGACTCCTGCATGTTTTCCCCTAAAACCTTACTACGTGGCCACGTTTATATTGTACAATCCAGTGTGTGTCTTCATGTTTTGCATTTATGAAAGATTGATTACACTACCATCAGTATTTAATAACTTTTTGTTGGAAAGTTGAATTTAATACTCAAAAAAAAATTTGTTACATACAGGAAAAAAAAACAAATGAAAGAAGTGAAAACAGAGCACATTGTTAATGGTTACAAAAACAGAGTAAGATATATTGGACTTGCTTCTAAAGATAAGTGTGAGCCATCCACAATTGGAGCAACAACTACAGATGAGAATGAGCCGGATAAGGCGATAATGTAGAGAATTGATGCGGTTTTGAAAAATTTTCTCATTGTAGCGGGTAAGCTAGAGAAATATTTATTCCTCAAAAACAAAAACTAGAGAAACATTTTCAGAATCAACAATTTTTCTATTGCTTGTGAATATACCACAAATTAAAGTTAAGGTATAGATGTTATTAGGAATATATAATTTTTTTTTTTGAACAGCAGGAATATATAATTTAAAAAAAAACAACAAATAAAACCTCCTATCTTTCTTAAATAAGAGAAAAACTAAAATATAAAGTCAACTATTGAGTGATATAATTTTTTTAAAAAAAAGTCAATTATTGAATGACATATAAGCATGAAACTGTTATTACAACAAAAGGCCCAAAAGAGTATCAAATTAACAAAAGAGGCCCAGGCCCAGGCCCAGAACCAGGAGTTGAGGAGAGAAAGAGAGTCGCATACTGCATCGAGGAGAGAGAGAGAGACCGAAAAAAAAACATCACCAAGAACAAATTTTTTTTTTCCTCCCGAGAGGGAAACCAAAATTGAAAAGAACAAATTGCTGAATTAGGAATTTCGCAAGAAGAAGAAAAATTTATGGATTCCATTTCGTCACAGCCCTCCTGAGAGATTGGTTTCGTCTTTGATTTGAAGCTTAAAAAAGGGGTTTTGTTTTTTGTTCATTTCTTCGGAAACCCTAGGAGAGAGAAACTAATTTTAGATTGTTTGATTCCCCGAGCTCTGTGCCCTAGCTTTGCGTTTGCCTTGTTTCTACGTCCAATTCAGGTACCCTAAGCTTTGTTCTCTCCTCTCTCACTCTTTCTCTGAAACCCTAGAGTCCAGCTTTGCTGGAGTTTCTCTGATTTTTTTTAACGTTTCGGTTTTTTTTTTTTCAACGTTGTGTCTTTGGAGGGTTGATAGTGCAAGTGCTTCTCATTGTGATACCCTGATCAGGAATGTGAATTGAATGATGAAAATTCGTCTCTGTAACTCATGGTTCCTGCTCGTTTAGCTTCTAAATGTGCAATATTTGATGGAAAGTATTCGCGGGCATGCCATTAAGTAGCTTAGCTGATCATTTTTTCAACTTTTGTTCTTCGTCATCGTTGTTAGTGTCATTTTTAGGCAACATTTCACTCTTTAGGCAACATTTCATTGCTTTGGCTTCTAAGAGTTTTATCCACCACTTAGCCTGGGTTTAAATTTAAAAGGGTGTATATTATGGTCTTTGTTATGCTGAAATGCATAGTTCTAGCTCTTGATGTGTTATGCTGCTTTGAGTATATTCTCTACTATTTGCAAATTTTTGCATCATGAGAACATACATGCGCATACGTTTACTATTATTCTTTATTTAGCGGTTGCTGATTCTAACTTCTGTGGTATGGTCAATTGGAATGCTGTATATACTGAAAGTTTCTTGTTATATTTTCCAGTTAAGTTAGAATTCGAATTAATGGGACATCCAAGGTGGTGATGCATGGAGGCGTTTCAGGATATCTTCTAGTAAATGCTGAGGTTGATTCCATGGGAGGAGTTATCGATAGTGGAGGTGGTATTGGTATCAAAACATCTCCGCGCCGAACAGCAATTGAGAAGGCTCAAGCGGAGCTAAGGTATTTTAGATTGAGACTTCTTCATTTTCTGCGATGTCGTTAAAACACTCTACATTTTCTACTGCCTTCAATCACGTCCAATGTGTAACGAAGATCCTTGTTTCAACAGGCAAGAGTATGATGTCCGTGAGGAAAGGAGGAGAGAATTAGAGTTTCTGGAGAAAGTATGAATACCGATTTGCTATTTCCCTGTTATCGTTCTTTTGAAAAACTTATTATGACAAGCCTTTACTCCTATATCTGCTTCAGGGCGGTAATCCCTTGGATTTTAAGTTTGGTATTGCAACTTCACATAGCGTCCAGTCTACATCACTCACAGATCAGCAAGCAGAACATTTTGTAAACAGGTACATTCGTGTTATGTTGCAGTTTCCTTTTAAATTTCATCGATTAACTCATCATTATTTACCTATAACCCCCACAGTGAAGTCAAGGATAGTTTTGCTCTGGCTGCCTCACCACATGGAGACTCTGTGGAGAGTAGCGGTAGACCCGGAGTTCCTACAATTTCTGAACCTAATACAGCGGATAATCTTTTACTGTTTGATTCTGAAAATAAGTCAGCTGAAGGAGAGAGAAATTTGAGATATCCTAATAGGCAAAACAGAACTTCTGAGTCAGAACGGTCTTCCAAAGCAAACACCAATCAGAATACCAAAGAAACTGAAGATTCTGCCATTTTTCGCCCCTATGCTCGTAGGAACAGATCAAAGATAAACCGGGATCCAGCACGGTCAAGTTCCACGGATGTAGTTCAGAATCGTGGTGGCGTGGCAACGTCGATCTCTATTCGCAGAGGATTAGTAGATGGAAAGGGTTGCATTCCCGAAGCAGCCAATCAAAGGGATAGGCATACAACCTCTGTATCTTGTCCAATATTTGAAAATTCAAATGGTAATATTGTTCCGAAAAATGTAGCTCCCACCAATCCGCTGAATTCTAAGGTGGATGGTGGACCTGTTGTACGAGACAATATTGCTGGATCCAAGACTAGTCTATTGAAAGATGAAGCAGACATTACACATAGAAAAAGCTCTGCATATTTGCCATTTGAAGAGACTAGTCTTGCTGGGAAGAAGGCACAACTAGTTTTGACTAGTACAGAGATTGGCTCTCCCAAAGCCGCAACAATAGCTGGCCAGGACAATAATTCTATCCAATTGAATGGCCTAAGAGATTCTACGGGAGAGAAAGAAAACTTAGCAGATAGAGGAGCTGCAGGGACAAAAGGGTTAGAGTCAGATTCGTCTCATGCTAACAACTTAGAAGTAGATGTAGGTACTGAAGGAGATCTTTATAGAGTGGGAAAACTTGATTCAGATGAAATCCCTATGCAGAAGGCTTCAAGCGTAGAGGGGTTGCTGAACCAAACAGCTGGTGAACGGACGAAAACTAAGATTGAGGATGAGACAGGTCAATCTACCACCATTATTAGTGAGTGCAGTCCTGGGCGTGAAATGCAGATGAATTCGGTTAAAGTTGAAGATCAAAGCTACAGAAGTAGAGCTGAGCTTCAAAATGAAGAGAAAAAACTTCAAGATGGGTTGGTTGTACCTGAAAATGACAGGAAAGTTAGTAGTGTTTTAGCTGACAATCCTAGTAGCTCTTTGAACCCTGGAATTCCTCAGGTATCAGTAGACGAAAGTTCCTGCATGGTTGGTGATAATGTATTGTCAGGAACTGACGTTGAAGCATCAAAACATCAGCCTAGCTCAGATGCTTGCATAAAAGTGTTAGATACTTTGAGGGAAGACTCTATCCTTGAGGAGGCACGGATAATACAGGTTTTCTTTTTCAACTGGGCTTGTTGATCTTAATCTGTCAAGCTTTTAAGAAAGTTATATACCTATTCATCTTTTTATGTATGACATAATACACTAACAGGCAAAGAGAAAAAGAATTGCCGAGTTATCTTGTGGTACCGCACCAGTGGAGGTTCGTGAGAAATCTCAATGGGATTTTGTCCTCGAAGAAATGACATGGCTGGCCAACGACTTTGCGCAGGTGTGGTCTAGTTGAATCAGCTTTCTGACTTAAATTATATATATATGTGCATGGAAATTGCTGCAATTTGTGGACTGTTATTCTGCTTATTCCAATAGCACCTGGATATTCCTATGCATAAACGAGCCTGTCCATTTTTATGTTGCTGGAACATTTTTCATTCAGTGATCAGATTGCATGTTGTTTTTTCTCACCTTTTTCTTTTCATCTTCTAGGAGCGCATTTGGAAGATGACTGCGGCCGCACAAATTTGCCATCGAGTTGCTTTGACTTGTCAGTTGAAATTTGAGGAACGAATTCAGCACAGAAAGCTGAAAAATATAGCTTCAATCCTATCTAATGCTATCTTGCAATTCTGGAGTTCTGTGAATGTTCCTGAGGAGACAAGCGTGGGAATTGATAAGGTATTTGACTGACAGACCTCTCTCATGGTTTTTGGTGATAATGGTGATCATATGATTAAAGTATGGTCCCTGGAACCATGTTGTCAAATTTGTGACTGGACTGTAAGCAAGACAATTCTGCGGATATTTCCTTCCTATGATTGATTAACCAGATCTTTCTTATTCGCTTGAATTGTCTTCCATTTCTACCTCCAGGAGTCTCTGGTTCTTTTGGTCTTTATATTACGATTTTTGTAAACTTAATGATGTCTTGCTAAGTAATACCGTGGCCGTATGCAGGAGACTTGCCAAGAATCTAATCGCGAGAATGGCAGAAAATATTTAGCTGTGGGTGTCAGGGAGTATGCAAGTAGATTTTTGAAGTATAACAACTCTTCTATCCCCTATCATTCAGCTGCACCATCAATGCCCAACTATATATGCGACCCAGAAATATTGGATGTATCTCTGGTTGATCAGTTTACAGAAGTATGAATTTCTTAAAAGTTTTCGGCAGCCTCAGATACTGTTGCTGTGGATAGATCTACAATATTGCTGATCGAGCTTTGTTACTGTGCAGGAAAGCCTATTTTATTCAGTTCCATCTGGTGCTATGATGGTGTACCAAAAGTCCATTGAGACCCACATCGCACGCTGTGAGGTATGTGAGATTTCCTATTGTAAACTTGATTACATATACTTCCGGAGAATTTATATCTGTTATCCGAAGATTTTTAATTATTTCTCTGTTCCCAGAAGTCTGGAAATAGCATGCAGGAGGAGGTTGATACATCAGGCTATGATGCTGCTGGAGGTATGCACAATTCTTGGTTTTGTGAGTTCTCTGTGTTGGTTAAGTATTGCTGATCTTTTATCGCCATTGTAGATATAGGATACGATGTCACTGCCTTCGATGAAGATGAAGGAGAAACAAGTGCCTATTATCTTCCTGGAGCTTTTGAATGTACCAAGTCATTTAATCTAAGCCACAAAAAAAGGAAGAATTTGATGAAGTCTCATTCTGCCCGGTCATATGATATTGGAGCCGATGTACCATACGTCAACTACACAGGGGGGTCTAACTCATCGAATTTGATGAAAAGGCCTACTAGTAATATCAATGTCGGCTCAGTACCGACGAGGCGTGTCCGCACTGCTTCCAGGCAGAGGATTGTGAGTCCTTTTGGCTGTACTACTTCTGGGAATTTACCAGCGCCCTCAAAGACAGATGGGTCTAGTGGAGATACTAGTTCTTTTCAGGATGAGCAAAGTACTTTGCATGGTGGTAATTTTGTTCAAAAAGGAACAGAGGTTGAATCAAGTGGTAATTTTGAGAAGCAGTTACCTTATGAGATGACTGAAACGTCAGGAAAACCTAAGAAGAAGAAGAAGACGCATATGGTAGTTTGCAATATGAGCATATCTCTTACTTTTTATTTTGCTGAAAATTAATTGCTATTAATTTTAGTTTATATTGCACTGTAATTTGCAATTTCACTTGTTGCAGGGATCTGCGTACGAACAAACTTGGCATCTAGATTCCTCAATCCATACTGAACAGGTGATTTCAGTGCTAAAATCTTAAAAACTAATTTTGAACAAATATTAAGGGAAAGTATGCCAGGAGTTCAGGTGGTGTTCTTAACAATGTTAATACTTGACTAGCTTGCTATGAAAATTTTGTTTCATGCAGGAATGGTTTGATGCTTGGATTCTACCCTCGGATTGAAATACAATTCATTCTTTTTTTCCATTTTTTATCTTGTAGAAGTGTCTGTTGACAGTTTCATATTTCTTGAATGAGGATTTTAAGTTATAGTAGTTGGTAAATATGTCCCTGTACTGGTGATTGACGTTCCAGAAAGGATTCTGATTCGTCCTTATTTTGGCAGAAGGACCACTGGAAGAAGCGAGCAGAGAATCATTTCGATATGAATGGTATTATTTGCAAATTCGTTTTTACTCTCTGGTGCATTTTAGTTTTTCAGTGGTTGTGGGGAGCCTCTTCCTTTATAAATCAAACATAGCTTGTGATTAGGAGTTATTCTAGGGGATATCAAGCTTTAAGCATCATCTTTTGCGTACATGTGGAAGATGTTTTTGGACGTTTTTTAAACCTAGAGAGAAAGTTTGTTATATGGATTAATTCAGCTCTACTGTTTCTGGAAGCGAACATGATGTTGTTGCTTTATCGACATCTTCCCTTTTTATGCCCCCAAGCTGCTTCATAATGAGTTTATAGCTCTGTGACATATTCAAATTATATTTTATAAGGTCTGTATGGTCCTCATAATGCAAAGAAGCAAAAGACTACAAAGCAGTTGGTAGAGCATAATTTTGATAGTGCTATTCCTCTAGCTGGATCTATTCCTTCTCCGGCAGCTTCCCAGATGAGCAATATGTCCAACCCCAACAAATCGATTAAGTTTATTGGAGGTCGTGATAGGAGCAGAAAAATAAAAGGCCTGAAGGTATATGCTGTTGAAGGTTTGCTAGCTCTTCTGTTCGCTTTTTTTAAAAGATATTTGTTTTAAACTATAAATTTAATTTACGCAGATTTCTCCTGGGCAGCATGGTTCTGAAAATCCGTGGTCGCTATTTGAGGATCAGGTTTTTTATTTGTCATCTTCATTAACATCGATATGCTGTAGGTTTTTCTTGGAGTATCTAATTTTGTTCCATCACTTAGGCTCTTGTTGTCCTGGTGCATGACATGGGCCCTAACTGGGAGCTCATTAGTGATGCAATGAACAGCACTCTTAAAATTAAGGTAAGTGCCTGTTGCTTTGGAAAATCTTGGGATTCTTTCTTTAATACATTTCCAACCTAGTGGCAGAGCTGTCTGTTTGTTTAGTGAATTGTTGTGCTGAATATTGTTGTCCGGGAAATTGCTTTCTCGTATCAGTGAACAATTGGGATTTGTTGTTGGCTATTGTTTGATCAGTTTTTTGCTGCTTAAATTTCCAGTGTATATATCGTAATCCGAGTGAATGCAAGGAGCGGCATAAAATTTTGATGGATAAGACTGCTGGTGATGGGGCTGATAGTGCTGAAGACTCGGGGAATTCTCAGTCTTATCCATCCACTTTGCCTGGCATTCCAAAGGTTTCTCTTTAGCTCTAAGATGCTGAATAAAGTGTCCTCTAAGTTTAGACTAACTTAAATGCCCCGGATAATGTATGTTATATCCAGGGAAGTGCGAGACAGTTGTTTCAGCGACTGCAAGGGCCAATGGAGGAAGATACCCTGAAGTCCCATTTTGAGAAGATTTGTTTGATTGGGAAGAACTTACATTATAGAAAGACACAGGTTGGTTCATTTAGTGCTTCGTTACTGAAGCTTCTAATATAAAACTAGTGGATACCGTAGTTCTGCATTATTTTCTAGTCGTAATTCAACCCTTGCCTGGCAATAGTGATAGTTCCTCTTGTATGTCGTGTATGTCATAAATGAGATGATATTTTGGGTGTTCTAGTCTAACTTTTAGTTTTTGTGTTCCTTGTTAATCGAATGCTGGAGGGGTCTAAACTTAATAGTTCTAGAGAGTGTTCTCAGGGTCTCTGTGGTTACTTGTTCACGGAATTAAGTCTTCAGATTGCATGGAGCTGGTAACGTTTTTGCTTACAGACATCCGGGGTATAGAATTTGAGAAGATAGGCTTCCTTGTCTTGTTATAGTCAGAGTTTATGCTGAGAACGGCATATCTCAATCACTTTTATTTGGCATAACGGTTGCATGTTTCAATGCATAGCTGCAAATATTGGCGAACATTTGCTGAAGTCATTAAGAACCATGACATTGTAGTTTGAACTTTAAATCTTCTTATCCCCTAATTCTGTTTTCTTGTTGCTAATTTTGTATGTTTGCTACTGTTTCATCTATCTTCAAGAATGATGGTCGGGATCCCAAGCAGATAGTACCAGTTCACAATTCACAAGTCATGGCTCTTTCTCAAGTATTCCCGAATAATCTGAATGGAGGGGTCTTAACGTAAGTTTCAGTGTTTCTTTAAATTCATATATTTCCTGATTACTACTTCCGCAATTCTAATATTCTGCTACTCTCCGGATGAAGGCCCCTTGATGTCTGTGATGCGTCAACTTCAGGTCAAGATGTATTTTCACTTGAAAATCCAGGTCTTCCAACGTTAAATCAAGGCACGCCAGGGCTCCCTACTTCTGGAGCAAATCCATCCACTCTTGGATCATCTGGTGTGGGTCTCGGCAACAATTTACCAACCACAGCTGGTCTACACAGTCCTTCAGTCAGGTAGAGCTTGTAATGAATGAGTTTTTTTTTGGGTGAATGCACTCGTTCGTGCATCTCCACTCAATGTACTCGAGGGTTATTACTTCTTTTTGGTTGGTGATATATTTTTCCCTTTCTAGGGATGGTAGATTCAACGTTCCCAAAGGGTCTTTGCCACTTGATGAACAACACCGACTCCAACAATATAATCAGATGTCATCCGCTAGAAACATGCAGCAGCCTTCTTTATCAAGTCCTGGAACAGGATCTGGACATCGCATGGTTCCTGGTGGAAATGCGATGGGTGTTAGTGGAATGAACAGGAGCACACCCATGTCCAGGCCTGGTTTTCAAGGGATGGGCTCACCAGCAATGCCAAATACTGGTAGCATGGTGGGAATTCCAAACAGTGGAACTATTCACTCTGGAGGAGGAACTCCTCAAGGAAACTCCATGCTCAGGCCTCCACGTGAAGCAGTGCAGCATATGATGCGGGTAAGCTATTTTGGGTTTTATGTGCTGCTTTAATTAGTACACTTAGTTTTTAAGTTTCTCACATGCGGAACTTAGGGTAATCAACTTGTTATATTGCTTCACCACCCGGACTAATTATCTGGGTCCTCGTTTTTAGTTTGTAGACGTTCAGCGCTTCTGATTTTTGTCTACCGCTTGTCGATTGACATTTTGAAACTATTTGACCAACATTACAAACAATCAAGTGAAGATAGAAACTGATATGCGTGACTTTCAGATGCAGGCTGCTCAAGGGAACAGTCAGGGGATCCCAGCTTTCAGTGGGTTGAGTTCTGGATTTACCAACCAGACAACTCCTGTTCAGGCGTACCCAGGGCATCAGATGTCACAGCAGTCACATGTGCTTGGCAACTCGCATCATCCTCATCTCCAGAGCCCAAGTCATGCCACTGGTGCACAGCAGGACGCATTTGCTCTACGTCAAAGGCAAATGCAGCAGAGGTATGTGCAGCAGCAACAGCAGCTACAGCAGCAGCAGTTTCCAGCATCTGGTACCATGATGCCACATGGACAACAACCTCAGGGGACTTCTGTATCTTCTTCTCCACAAAACAGTCCTCAGACTCAACCACCCGTTTCCACTCAGCCATTACCGATGCCCCCAGTGTCGACCTCTCCTAATATGAATGCTATGGCACAACAGAACCCTCAAAAATCTTTGTTGCCGCTTCATAGTCTGGGTAGGAATCCTCAGTCTGCTGCTTCTGGAGTGAATAATCAAGCTGGAAAACAACGGCAGCGACAACTCCAGCAGCAGTCGCAGCAGTCTGGTAGACAACACCCACACCAGAGGCAGCCAATGCAAGGTCAACAGCAGAATAAACAATTTAAGGGGATGGGTAGAGGAATCCATCAAAACATCACTGTTGATCAGTCACACCTGAATGGTCTCGCCATGGCCCCAGGAAATCAGGCTACCGAAAAAGGAGAGGCAGTGGTTCCAGTTAGGCCTGATCAGCAGCAGTCTAATGCAGGGGCTGCCACGAGCACGCATCTGCAGGCTAAACCATTTGTTCCACCACAGGCTTCAAATCATTCACAGCAACTGCCAAAAGCATTTCCTGGTGCTTCATCTCCGTCCCAGCAACAACAGATACAGCTACCTTCAGACAACAGCACCCAAGGCCAGAGCTCACCTGCGCCCCCAGGTAACATCGTATCCACCACTACCTCGTCAATTACACCAGCAGTTGCACCTTCTAGCCACCAGCATTTATTGCTACACCAAAAGCAGCGCAATCAAGTGCAGTCAACAGCTCAACGAGTTGTTCATCATAATTATCTAGGGAACTCTGACTTATCGAGGAAGTTCCCAGCTGAACGTATGCCACGTATTGCGCAGCCTGTAAGCAATCCCACCCACCAAACACCTATTATGAGTATTACCAAGGGTGTGCCTCAAGCGAGTAATGATTCGAAAAATATAAAAGCAGTTGGTTCTACCGCTGCGCCTTCTTCAAATGCATTGGAACCTCCATCTTGTGCCGCCTCTGTGCAAACCGCTGCTCCTAAAGTAGTAAACAGCTCTAATACAGATTCAGCTGGGAGTGATCCAGTAACAACACCGAACCAAGGACTGGCTCAGAAACCATTGCCTGGTGGCTTGCCTATTCAGGGTCCAAAGGGGGTGATACAGAGACAACAATCTCTACCTTCAGTAGAAAAGAGACCAAAATTGCCAGAGCAGCTGACTGTACAAAATCAGAAACATCTTGCTTCTGATCAGCAGCCTCAATTAGAAGAAGCACAAGAACTATCATCTCCCAAGCCTCCTGATACAAAAGTGGAATGAGGAACCACGACAGATGAACCTAGAACCTCAGAGTAGCTTGTAGATCCTGCAAGAGCTAATGCTTGCCATTACCGTCATTGGTTGGTCCAGCCAAACTCTGAAGATTGAGTTTGCAGATTTGATGAGAGCAAAGGAAGAAGATAAATGGGGAAGAAGAAGCCAGATCAAATTCATGATGGTCTATTTTGCCTCTTGAAAACACACAGAGAGAGAAGGTATAATCAATCATCATCATATGTAAATTACCACTGCATCATAGAGAAAAGTCCCTATCTTCTTTCTTCCCATCTTTTGGGGTTTGGAAGAGTAGAAACAGTTTATAATGTTTTGTATAGAAGTCTGCTCTTCCACCACCAATTTTTTTTTCTTTCCTCATCTTGTGCCGCATATATTTAGGGCCTTAGTAGCCTTTTTTTTTGTCTGTTTGTTCCCTTCTAATTATCTCCTCTTGTGGGTTTAGGTTAGTTTAATCTGAATGTATTATTTGTTCTTTCTCCTTTCTTAATGGTTAAATTGAGAAAAACCAAAAAAAAAAGATCACATGCTTCCCATAATATTGTGTACATAAAATTTTTCATGACATTAGACTACATTTGTTCATTTTTCTAGGTTAGAGAAGAACAATGGTTTCTTTGATTTTGTTTTGACTTAGATTAGAGTAATTAACACTTTCACAAGTTGACACAATAACAAATGAAAGCTATAAGTTGACATATGAATCTGCTGTTCACAACAGTGTTAGTGAGTAATTGTGCATAGTATGAAATTATCGGAAATTTGTCAGAGATTTATGAAAATGTTTACAAAAGTTTTGAGTTTTTATAAAAAAAAAAAAGACAAACACAATCTTGGTCTTTCAGACTAGACCATATCATTATGTCGGAACAGAGACCTGATCTTCTTCTTAGTTAACCACTTGAGCTCTCTGATAATGGCAAGAGTTGAATTTTTTGGCTCTGATTATATGCTTCAAAAGTTGAAAAGAAAAAGACTAAAAATTTCTTTTAGAAAGAATCAAAGGCAGTGTTAAGAAACTGAAGAAGCTGAGTTTGAGAACTCTGAATCAATTTTAACCGTTTCATCTCCATCTCCTTACGCATCTTCACCGTCTCTTTAGCAAACTCCATCTTCCTCTTCTCCATCACCATCACTCTCTCAGCAAACTCTCTAATCTCAGCAGCCACTGCTCTCGCTCCTTTCCTCCTCTTCTCACCTCCTCCTCCTCCTTCATCATCTTCTCTCCTCTTCCTCTTCGATCTCTCTCTTTGTCCCCATTGCAACAATCCTCCACCAACTCCGGCGAGTCTATTTACCGTTCCTGGTCTTCTCAGTATGTAATTGATACTTCTCGATTTGCTCTGTTTTTCATCTTCTTCTTCTTCTTCTTCTTCGTAATCCTCTTCTTCTTCTTCTTCTTCTTCTTCTTCATCTTCTTGGTAGTGATGATTACTCGAATTCGGAGGGAGACGAGTGAGAGGACGAGCTGATATTGGAGCTGGATTGCTATCTAACTCCTCCATTTGAGAGTAGAAAGGCCAAATCGAGATTGGTCCCATGCTCTGTCTCTCAGCTCTGAATCTTTTACGCATCTTCTCGATCTTGTGCCGACACTGCGTCGCTGACCGGTCAACGCCGGAGCGACCGGAGACGGCGACGGCGATCTCTTCCCAGTGGTTTGATTTCAGGGGACCTCGACCAATGGCGTACCATTTCTCCTTGTAGGATTCGATTAAGAGGAGAGTCTCGTCGTGTGTCCAGAGAACCGGTTGGGTTTTTCTGGCGACGGCGGAGGTCGAGGCGGCTAAGGCTACGACGGTGTTGTGTGGTGGCGGAGGGGTTGGAGTCGATGTGGAGGGTGGTTGGTTTTGATGCGGCGGAGTAGCGACGGAATTAGGGTTTGAATCAGAGGGAGGAGAGGAGGTCGGCGATGGCGTCGACATGGTTTAGTGTAATGGAGAGGACAAAGAAACAAAGACTTTTTGGGTTTTTGTGAGTTTTAAAAACTCCAAAATCAAATCTTTGAGCTTTTTTTCGGCCCATTTGAGAAATTGTAGATCAGGCCACTCGCAAGCCTTGTTTTAATAAATTTAAAATGGAAAAATACCAAAATCAACCTGAACTAAATTTTATGTGCCAAAAAAAATATGAAGTAAAATATAGTGCTATTTCCTATCCAAACTATAAAAATATTCAAATCTCTTACACAAACTATTGAATTTAGGCTGAATCTAACTTTGACCGTAAATCCGTTAGTCAAACTGTTAACAGTGCTGACTCAGTAATCCCAATCAACTGTCATGTCAGCTAAAGCATCCAAAAATATTGAGTCAAGTGCCATTTCAATTTTTTTCTATATTTTTAATATTCTATTAATTTTTGTTAATTAAAAAAGATTTTATTATATCTCAATTTTTCTATTGTAACTTTTATTTTATTCACACAAACTAAAAATATATAATTTATTTATTTTAGAATTCATACTATGGATAGATAAGAAAATCAAATCGAAATTTGATGGGATAAGGAGAGAGTTACAGTAATACAAAAAATACTAAGACATTTTTTTAGCAAGAAAACCTGTTTGATGAAACTTTTTGTATGTTAATTAAACTTCCTGAAAAACTTTTGATGGATTTTTGAATAAACTTTTCATATTGAAGAGTGAAGTCCCGTATCTTGATTGAATTCTTAAACTAAGAATTTTTTTTTTAATTTCCAATAACTTAAACCAATTGGAAGCATTCATATTAGCAATATATGTTATCAGAAATATAACTATTTTTTTTAATAATATAATTGGTTATGATTTATATATCTACCTATATACATAAAATTTATATTATTTTTAAACATATTTCCACAAAAATTAATAAATTATATATTTTTAAGTCTTGTGTATAAAAGAATTTGTACAACAGAAAAATCAAGATCTAAATAGAATCATTATTAACTAACAAAGATTGATAAAATATTAAAAATTTAGAAAAATATATAAATAATATCATCTTTTAAAAAAAAACAAAAAAAAACTGGATATATATATATATTTATATTTTTAAAATAATGACAGCTGACGTGGTAGATGACTCAATATTTTTGGACGCTTTAGCTGACGTGACAGCTGACTGGGATTGTTGAGTCAGTACTGTTAACGGTTTGACTAACGGATTTACGGTCAAAATTGGATTCTGCCTAAATTCAATAGTTTGGATAGAGAATTTGAATATTTCGGTAGTTCAGATAGGAAATGATATCATATTTTAGTTCAGATTTTTTTTCGGCACATCAAATTTAATCCATTTTGATTTTGGACCTTTTCCCTTGTTGTAATATTTATTTCCACAGCAAAGAGTTCATTTGGAACATTAGAACATCTCCATCAGTTAAAAATTCTGAAAAATGTTCTTAAAACAAAAATATTATTATTTTAATAAATTAATTTTATAGAATTAAATTTTGAGTTCATTCGAGACCAGCTAAGAATCATTAACTATCAGAACCCCTGAGAGATCTAGCAATTTCTCCCTTTCTCCCACCCCAAGAGGAGATTGGTTAGGAATGGGATGGGCTGCAAACTAAAAAAAACCTTGTTTTTTTTAGCTGAGTTAGCTTTCTCTATACTACTAGTAAAGGGAAAATGAAGGTGCGCTTCTGCGCACCAGCATTTTTTTTTTTAAAAAGTTACTCACTAATAGAGTGACAAGTATTTCATGAGTATCTCATGTGTATCTCAAATGAGAAGTGCTTCTCACTTTTTCTCTCTGCTTTTCATTATTTTCTATTTTTTTTTAAATGATGAGATACCCTTCCAGATACCACCGATGGAGCTGCTCTTACTGTCTTAATAGTAAGTATCTAAAATGAAACTTTAAATTGTTTTGGAAAGAAAGATTCAAATATATTTTTTTAAAAATCATTTCAACACTAGAGGATAAAAATCCTCAAAAAAAACTAACCATATTTTACAATACTAAACTGAGTAAACTCTACTCCAACCACAAATTTCAATTGGTTATAATTATATTTATAAATTTAGCTAACGCCATAAATAGAACACCAAATAAGTAAGAGTAACATGTTTTTCACACACAAAATATTATAAATACTGCACACACTACTGATCTTTGTAAACCATATTCCATACAAAAAATGAGCCATTCCATAGTTTGTGCTTTAGTTGTTATTTTTATGTATTTTGGCTTGAATGAAGCTGCTACTACTTGCACCACAAAACGTATAATAGTTACGAACCTACTCAGTAATAATATTCCTCTTCATTTTCAATGTCGTGGTAGTAGTTACAACCCAACAAAGAAAACTGGAACAAGAGTTGATTCAGGAAAAAAAATTTTAGGCTTCAATTATTCTTGGAGCATCAATTTTTGCGGTGGCAATATTTTTTGTGATTTCAGCTTTATTCAGAATGGAAAAAAGCATTTTCTCGAGAGCTGGCAAATATATAGGGAAGGTTCATGGAACAACTATTTTACTTCATCTAAATGGATTTGCAAAAACGATGGACTTTACCTCTCTTTAGATAACAAACCAACTGAAAATGTTATATCTTGAGGTTAGAGCCGGCTATGAGCAAACCCATGATTGCGGCTCTTTTTTTTTATAAACCAATTTTAGCTTTTAAACTAATGGATTGTCCGCGCTATATGTGATTGCTTGTTTAGTACTCCCTCCGTTTCACAAAGAGTGTCATTCTGACATTTTTCACACATTTTAAGAAAATTATTAAAAGTACAACTTTATCCCTTATTAATACATTAAATGATTTGTTTTTATCTAGTAAATATATTAAATTAATAGGGTTAAAACTGGAATATTGTTTAAAATTTTGCATTGAAAATATAAAACAACACTCTTTGTGAAACAAAAATAAAACCTTAAAACGACACTCTTTGTGAAACGGAGGGAGTAACATTTATATAATTTTTGTTGATTTTTATTTTGTGATCATATTGTAGCATTCGAGGATCTTCTATTTTATTATATGAGAGATCAGAGTAATAAGTTTCCAAAAAATCAATTTATGTATTTGCATCTAAGCATTTTTGAAAACAAACTTTTGCTGTGCAAATTATTTACAACATATGTGATATTCAATTTAATTTTTTTTAATATATCTTTAATTCTTTATAGATTGAGATATATTTCAAGTTTCTGTAATTTATTAGTAGTGCTTAAATCCTCTGTATTAAAAGATCTAATTTTACCACTATTTTGTTTGTATATATTATATACACCGTTTTTTTTACAACACATGATTTTGAAACGCTAGACGGAGCATATTGGATATTGTTATTAGACTTTAACTATAGTTTGTAGTCGTCTGAAATCTATTTTGTTCACTACAAATTCAAAATTGGGTTCTTAAACCTAAGATATTAGACAAATTATTCAATTGTTTCTCAATAAATCACACAATTATAGAAAATTTAAAGTTCGAGAAGTGGAAACCAAACCTGAGAACCACCTCATAAAATGAGCGGAACTCTGAAACAACCATCTGAAACATGTTCTAATAAATATAGGTCCATGCATCTCTGTAAACAACTTTGAAAACCAATAGTAAGACAAATAAAGAAGGTCCTAGATTTTTGAGTTAATGCATATACCATGAAAAAAGGTCTGACATATCATATTATTATTTGGGAAGTAACTTGAGCTGTGGTTCAATGCACAGTTTAGGTTGTCGTTTTGATTAATGAATTTTGAGCTTTCTGATTGGTTGGTGTTTGTTATAATTTGATTAGTTTAAATTGATTGATTTTAACGATTTTTGGTAATTTTTAATTGATTGAGATCGTTAATGGATTTGCATTGAATCTGAATATAGGCGACCCAAAGTTTTTTGTCGTTTTGATTAATGAGTTTTGAGCTTTCTGATTGGTCGGTGTTTGTTATAATTTGATTGGTTTAAATTGATTGATTTTAACGATTTTTGGTAATTTTTAATTTTTACAAAATTTTTTATTGAGATCTTTAATGGATTTGCATTGAATCTGAATATAGGTGGCCCAAAGTTTTATTTGAAAATCCGAGTACAAACCAATATAAACAAAACAGCTTCGTCATCAACAAAAAAAATATTCTGGCACAATTGGTTAGGAGATCTTTCCTGTTATACGTATATCGCGGGTTCGAACTCTTTGTCGTGTGAATTTTGAAAATGTAAATTTTTATTTTTATAATCTTTTTATTTTTTATATAATTTTATCGGATTCAACTTTTAATAATTAAAATTGGGAATATTCCTTATTTATTCAATATATTTTTTTATATTTGGTACGTTTTAATCTGAAAAGGATGTTTTCTTTATCATAAAATGACAAATTGTTTGTTTATGTCAATATGAAATCCTTTCTACCTTTATCGGTTGGTTTTATTAATAAAAAAATATTAATTTTGATTTTATAGAAATATTCGCATGGAGGGTTCACTACAAGAAAAACATCATTTTACGACGGCCGAAATGGTCGTTAATTCGTCGTAATAGGGCCATTACGACGGATTACCGACGATTTCAAAATCGTCGTAAACTCATCGTCGTAATAGACAAATCGTCGTAAAATCGTCGTATAATATACGACGATTTTGTTTCGTCGTAACGTCGAGGCAAATAAAATCGTCGTAAATGCGTCGTACAATTTACGACGCGTTTACATCGAATTGCGTCCACTTGGTCTTCGCCTAGACCGTCGTTAAGTGGTCGTTAATGGTCGACGTAAGATCGTCGTAAAATATACGACGCAAAAATCGTCGTAAATCAGTCGTAAAGTATTTCTTCATAGCGTCGTAAAATCGTCGTAAATCTCGAACGTATAATCGTCGTATTTGTCGTCGTATATTATAGTCGTAAAGTCGTCGTAATATGTACGACGACATTACGACGGTTTGAAGAAATCGATTACGACGATTATACGACGATTTATATATATGAAAAATA